GGACTCGCAGCTTCCCAGTGTTGACACGATTTATGAAATGTCCATTCTGATTTGCAAATAGGTCTGACACGGAAAAGCTTCCAGCTGGCTGGTGATTTTGATAACTCCTCCTCCTCGGTGCCAATTAACAGAAATTAAATGCCCTTGGCACATTTTGCAATTCAGAAAATGCATGTGCTGATTAGTTAACCCCTGCTGGCCATGCCATTGTGGCCTTACGGGGTCCAGGCCAAGGTTGCTCTCACTCTATCTCCATTTAAAAATCACAAAATGTTTTCTTCCTGGGTAAAAATCAATGACATCTCATTCATTTATTCATTCACTTTTCATTCAGTGAAATGGGATAAGCATCTACTCTGTGCCAGGTATTGTTCCGGGAGCTCAGGATACAACAATGAATGGCACAGATAAGCATCCTGCCTTTGTGAAGGGGAGTGAATGGTAAACCGGAGAGTTCCTCCATGACAGATGTCACACAGGAAACAGAGTGATGAGACAGGACAGCAGAGGGAGGTGAGCCATATTACAGGAGTGGCCAGGGAAGCTGTCTCCAAGGAGGTGACATTTGAATTAAGACCTGAAGACTAAGAAGGAACCAGACATGAAGAGCATGTCTAGGAAGAGCAGAAAATAATTCAGTGGGTCCAGGAGATTCCCTGTGGGGTAGGTTCAATGAACAGGGCTCCACTTATCAAACGTTATCATATGATAAGAATGTGTTGGGTGTACAATTATAAAATAACATGAATCCTTTCAAGAAGGATCAATTCAGGAAGATGTTCCTGCAGCTATCACAAGCAGCAAGGCAGGTCTTGCCCTGTTCTTCCCCCCATTCCCCAGCTCTAAAACAAGGGGCTGGGCTCAGGCACCAGCATTCTAGGAATGCTGGATCCAAAGAGCTCACCTTCCAAAGGGGCAGATCCTTGCAACCCTTTAAAGCAAAGACTGTGCCACAGGCAAAAATCTGTCAGTCATTTTGTGAATAAAAATCAGAACCATCATTTGGAATTGTGTAGACAAAGCATAAAATGTAATCACCTTTGTTATCATTAGGATAAATTTACTGAATTTCCATACTCATTTATACATTTAGAAAATACTTACTGTAGTTGTACCCCCCGCCCCCGCCTCTCTATATCTCTCTCTCATTCTCCCTTCCCCTTCCTCTCCCTCTCTGGTATAGCAATCAAGAACCTGGGTTGTAGAATTGGGACACCTAAGTTACATCTGAAGTATGACTGGCTGTGCAACTTTGGGCAAGTCACTTCACCTCTCTAAATCTCAGTTTTCTCATAATGTAATGGGAATAATTACAGAGGCCGACTCTGAATGTCCATATAAAGTAAATATTGAACTATTAGTATTCTCATTCTATATATTCTTATGTAAGACTTTATGAATTCAAGAAACTGAAGCAGGCTTTTTATGGGCAAAAGAAACTCAAGTGAAGAGCATGATAGCAAGCTGCCATTTAATGATCTATCTCCATGTGTAGGGTCTTCCATTCATTGAGAAAATCAAGAAGCAGGGTCATTATGAGTAGCCTTTTAGAAGTCTCTTAATTTATGACTTGAGCTGGCAGTTACAGGCTCCTGTTTTACGTTGATACTGTCCCTGTGCTTTGCTTCCATGGACTCATCTAAAAATCTCACCACAATCATACAAAGGAAGGCGATTACTGTCCCCTTATTACTCTCAAGGAAGCTCAGGCCTGAGGAGATCAACCTCCATGGGGTCGCAAGGCTAGGAAATAAACTCCGATGGTCTGACTTCCTCCTGTGGCTGCTGCCAGCCACCCCACTTAAGACAGGACACAAAAGCAGCCATCCTGCAGCCAATGGAATTTGCTACTTCAAATAGTCAAGAGTCTTAATTTTATTAGTTATTGATGAACCTTTATTTATTTATTTGTTTATATGAGGTGCCGAGACTGAACCCCAGTCCCTCACACATGCCAGGCAAGTGCTCCACCACTGAGCCACAACCCCAGCCCCATAGTCTCTTGAGATCTCAGTAAACAAAGAATCATCACCTGCCTAATCCTGAACCCCGGACCTGTAGACAGCACTAATGAGGGCTGCCCCCACACTACACAACACCGGCCTTGAGAAAATTCACATCTTCTACCCTTGATGGGATTCTCAGGTACCTATTAAAATGTCAGGCGATCTTAGAGTAGAAGCTCTTTCTATATCATTTAACACAACCTGGAACATACGATTGCTGTGGCGGCCAGCCTTCCCTTAACAGTTACTTCCTTACTACTTCCCTGCACCTTCACTTGATCTGGGAAATGCTATGTCACAGTAAGTGTAGTTAAAAGAGCCAACAAACCACCACTATTCTCATGGGATCCAGATGTAATCATCTCAAATAACCTTGCTTTCGGTCAAAGAGGTCCCAGCTGCTGACACCAGGACAGATGTGCAGAAAAGTGGCCATTGCTGGGATGGGGACAGGTTGGCTCTTCTCTACAGGCAGATGCCCCAACATCCACATAGATACTATCCTAGGCATGAGGAAGAAAAGCAGGATATGTCAAACACAGGCCACCTTTTCCTTTAAGGGCTCAAATTCGTGACAATAAAATGAAACTTCTGTCCATAGTCAGTGGTGTGTAGAAAAGATACCAACACTCCAAACCCTTTGTAACTTCTTGATGTGGTGAGACTCAAAAGTGCATCTGTGTAATTGGGGCTTGGTATTCTTGCCTGCTTCTCCTGCTGAACGCAAAGCAGCCACCTGGAGCTTGTGACAACTCTTACTTGCGCTTGGGCTAAGTGGAGCACATTAGCAGATGAGCACATGATACAGTGTGCTTGCAGCCCCTGAGAACTCAGAGAAGCCCAGTTTTGAACCCAAATATAGCTGCTTTCTTGAAAGGTTGGGCCCCTTTAGTATATTCAGTTCCTGGAGCCACAGATCATTGTTCTGCCTTTGGAGAAATGGTTCTGGGAACGACTTTCATAAACGTTGCATGCAAGACCTGATAGTCTCATGCCACATCCCAAAGAATGAGGCTGTAATCATTATTATCATTAGTAGTTTCCCCAAATAGCAAACTAGCCTGTTACATCAGCCTGAGTCCTGGATTGAAAAAAACATCAGGCTCTTGATGAAATAAATTAGGCAGGACACAGAAAACTCCTACATATTTCTTGTTTTACTGGGTTTTCATGGAAACTTGCTTGTGAACAAACTCTAAGGCACGGTGTGTTAGAAAGCAGGTCTTAATAAATTTTTTTCAGGCTAATTTCCCAATATCCTTTCAGCCTTCTTCTTTCCTCCTTCTGCAAGGTCAGTTTGGATTTTATTTCCACACAGAAGGACAACAACCAGAGGAGGTTTAGCCAAGCACTGGCAACAAAATCACAGAGGCCAACTCATTTCTGTTATACCCATTCCACCATTTGCCCTCTCCTCACAAGAAGCTAGCAGAGGGGTTTGCCTGCACTGTCCTCCTGAACATTCTGTGCCTAAGGAAGAGAAAAGGCACAAAAGATTGCACAGCGAAGGAGTGACATTGGTGATGTATACGGGGACAACAGGGATGTAGGTTGAATTTAGTAATCAAAATACTTGAGGGCCTCAGGGAAATTCTGGGAACTTATGAATTTTAACTTATTTTTGAAATAATTTCAGACTTACATAAATGTTTGCTAAAATTATACAAAATATTCCTGTGTACCTATCCACTATGTTCCTCAAATGTTAACATTTTACTATATTCAGTTTGATTTTTTTCCCTGAACCATTTGAGAGTAAGTGGAAGAACAAATGCCCATTTATTCCTAAATATTGCAAGGTGCCTTTCCTAAAAGCAATTATATCCTCTTATGTAGTAACCACAATACAAGTAAGAAAGTCAGGCAGTCAACACTGATGTAGTGTTATTAACTAGTCTATGGATCTTATTCAATTGCCCCACTGCTTTTTCAGTTGTCCTAGTCTTTTCCTTTATACAAAAATTTTTGCAGAATTCTTGTCTAGGGTCCCTTCCAGATCCACGTACTGCATGAGATTGTCACATCTATTTAGTTTCCTTTCATCTAGAACCATTGCTCAAGCTTCATGATCTTTCATGGTCTTGGTATTTTGAGAAATATATATATATTAGTTGTAGATGGACACAATATCTTTATTTTATTTATTTATTTTTATGTGGTGCTGAGGATCGAACACAATGCTTCAAGCATGAGAGGCAAGCACTCTACCACTGAGCTACAACCCAGCCCTAGGCCACGTATTTTCTGAAGAGTCTCTCAAGTTTGATTGGTCTGCTATTTCTTCATCATTAGACACAGATTATTCATTTGGGGCAATAATAGATAATAAACCATAGGATCAAACAGGAATCCCTAAGTTCCTATTGATATAAATAAGGGAATGGGGAGAAAGGAAAGCTTTTCCTCACAGTAGTGTGCCAACTACTAGGTGCAGACAGTCGGTGAAATTAGCAATCACCATTCAGCAACCATTGCAGTAATAATTGGTTCATGCAAAAATCAATGGATCTGGGGTTGTGGCTAAGTGGTAGAGTGCCTGCTTAGCATGGGTAATGCACTGGGTTTCATCCTCAGCACCACATAAAATAAATAAACAAAAAAGGTATTGTGTTCATCTACAACTAAAAAAAAATTTTAAACAAATCAATGGGTGCTGAAACTAGGGGGTGCAAGCTTGAAGAACCTCAGAGTATCTCCTCACAGGATACTTATTAATCACAAAGGGGAAAATTGCAGCCTTAGCTGGAGAAATCTGGTAAGCAACTACTTTCACTAAAAGGCCAATGTTAGAATCACCAGCACTGGGGAAATAGATGCTATTTCACGTACCTTCTGATAAGACAGATTGAGGATGCAACATCTCTTGTGCAAAAAATCAATCAAAATCAAACAAAAATATTCCTGCCCAAAAGGCTTAAGAATTTTAAAAATTTTTAGTTCTTCCCAGACTGCTTTCTTACACAACAAATTATGAAATCTTTCTCACCTTTGCAGAGCCTGCCTTCGTAGTCATCTCAACAGATATTCTGGAGGAAACAATCTGCTTGGAAGGAAGCCTCTCAATGAACATGTGTTGACCACGTGACATTCCTCGAACATCAGGAATGGAACAGAAAAACCGACTGCCCTCCAAGGGAGGAGGGTAATAAGAGAGAGAGCAGATCTGTCTTCACCGCCAGTATGAACGGGTGGTGGGCAAGGATGGGGAAAAGCAAGTGAGGCATGTGCCATTGCAGGTTAGACTAGGCTGCCACCCCTCCTCTTACTCACTTGTATTGTCAAAGCCCCAAACTTGGTCTTGTCAATTTGTCACAGCATGGCACCTTATATGGATGAAGAGAAGGCTATCAAATACCTTCCGGCTGAGTCTGGCCTGTCTCTCCAGCTCAGATTTAGAGCAACACCAAGGATACCATAATATTCTCTCTCAGGTGTTCAATCTGCAGAGGCCAATATTTCTTCACAATGTCCCCTAACCTTTACCCCCTGCTCTGACTCCCCACCAAGTATCCTATATCCCTCTGCCACATCCTCATTCTTTTCCATTCCAATTACATTCTGTCCCACCACCCCCCATAACTTTTGATGCAGAGGATGTCTATTAGAAAATAGTGGTCAAGGAAATAAGGACCATATACATAAAGAACCTCAGACAAGAAAAATCTATGACATTTTAAGACAGATACCATAGACTGCAATGCTATTTCACAAGCTATTTCAAGTAGAAAGACACAAAAATCAACTATAACTGTGCATCCTCTTATGTTTATAAATAAGTCTCTCTCACACACACACAAAAAAAAAAAAAAAAAAAAAAAACACCATTAGCCAGACACAGTAATGCATGCCTGTAATCCCAACAATTCTGGAGGCTGAAACAGGAGGATCACAACATCAAGGTCATCCTCGGCAATTTAGCATTTTTAGATTATCTATGTTGACCTGAGAGAGACTTTACAACAGATAAGTAAATTCATAAATACCTTTAAATTTTTTTTAACCATATCCATTTTAATCTCTTCCCTGATCTAAGGACAGCAAAATAAGAATTTCATTTTTAAATGCACGAGGTGCCCTAACAGAGATTTTAAAGGGATTGCAGCATCACTGGGATGTGTTGGTTGTTTTCCAGTTCAGCATCCTGGTTTTGCACTGACATCCTCAGCCCTTCATGCACTCCTGCTTGTAGACATTTTTACACATGCTGTTTTTTAATTGCCAACCAAACCGCCATCAGAGCAAGGACTGCATTTATAGTTACAGAAATGTTTTCTTCCATGTGGAACTGTCACGTGCGGAACTTAAACTGGCGCCCATTTTTTTTTTACTGGGATGAATAACTTGGGCTTCTTAACCATACCCTTCTAGAAGTTAACCACAGGAGAAGGTGATAAAAAACAACAAGAGGCCCCAAAGTACTGGCATCTGCTGAGAGGTGGGCGAGAAACCAGGAGGTATGCGTGAACTCCGGAACAATAATTCAATGAAGACAGCTCCTTCTCACACATGGTCAAAGACAGTACTGCTGTCAGTCATTCTTTTTCTCTTGGCTCCTGTGATCTAATGTTGGTTGCAATTTTCTCTGGGAGGAATTCAGATTGGCTCCTCCTTAGCCTCAGCAGTGACAGAAACAGAAATGAGCTTTCAGATGCCTAGATCTGTGTTACTACTTCGAGGCCTTAGAGCCCACCTGAATACAAGTTGTAATGACTTCATTTTCCAAGGTTAAGCCATAGAATTCCACAGTTGGGAGGATTTTTAAGCTTGTAAGTGATATATGGAAAGGTTAAGTGCAGGGAAGCTGGGCGTGGTTGTGCACACCTATAATCCCAGCAACTTGGGAGGTTGTGGCAGGAGGATGGCAAGCTCGAGGCCAGCTTCAGCAATTTAGTGAGACTCTGTCTCAAAGTTAAAATGTCTGTGGATGTTGCTCCGTAGTAGAACACCACTGGGTTCAATACCCAGTACCAAAAAAAAATCTAGAGAAAACAACATAAACTTTAATCACCCGAAGCCACTGACCACAATGGCTATTAACAGCCTTGTCTTGAAGACCCTCTTGCCCACATTTCCATCTTCATACACTGGCTTCTGCAAGTCACAATTGGAGCAACAGGGACTCCACCGCTCCTAATTTTTACCCATGCTGTTTTTTAAGTCTGTGGGAATTCTCTGTGACTCATAATAGAGGGTTTCTGAGGGATTTTGCTTTTCCTTTGAGCCTGTTGAGCCTATAAAACAAATACTTTCCTAAACACAAAAGAAAGAATCTGACTTGTTCCCAGCCAAACCCAGAAGCTTTGAGAAAGCTCCCCATTTTCTAAAGTCTGCACCTTGAGCACACAGATTCCAAAGGGTGAGGGGTCAAAAAATGGTGGGAATGGCAAAGAAGCAGAGGAAGGTAGATTTGAATGATTACAATGATGACCTGAAGCCCAGAAATTTGCCCTAGAATAGTTTTCAAACATGGCATCTGAGTTTCATTCAGCTCCAGAAATTCTTGCTATTTATTATGATGTTAAGTCAGGGGGAGGTGGTGTTGTCTAGGCAGAAATGAAGAAAAAAATGGATGAGTAGAAAAATCCACTACTCCACAAACAAATATAAGGAGAAAAAATTGTATATTCTTGTGTGTGTGCTTACTTTTTTTTAAGTCCAGTGTTTTTAATAGACCAAAAGAAAAACTTTATGGGTTAATATGTCTGTGAATAATATTTAAGAAAGGGGTATAATGCGTAGCCATTATGGAATGTTGTATAAATAAGCCTTAAATATACAAATTATATCAACATAAAAATTATTGCACAGGAAAGTGGGCACTTAAAGGACTTCCAGGATTTTCATATCTTTGTTCCAAAAAATAGAGTTCCAGGGCTGGCAGCTTATTTCCTTAGTATATTCCACTTCAAAGCCGAGAACTTTGGAGAGTTTTTTTGTTTGCTCATTTGCCAGGTTGGTACAACACTCCACATGGATTGCTTTGAAATGTCCGTTGCGCACATGTTGGTGTTACCTGCCCACAGGGAATCATCAGAGATTTGTTCCACCTTTACATCCTGGAAAACCAAAAGAAATTTTCTAATAAGAAGAAAAACGTACAGAAGGTGTCTTCATGGTTGGATAACTCAGATTTGTACCACTCAGAACTTGGTGTAAAACTGAGGTCATGAGCTGCTCCATACAGAATTAGTACTGTCTCTAATGTGAATTTCCAGTGTTGGATAATGTCTCCCCTGGTGGGCGGGAGGGGGCAGGGAACACGTATTTTTGTCAAATCATTTTATCTTGGCCTTGATGTGTCCTTCTAGAGGAAACCAGAAATCCTAAGCCACCTCCCTTCAGGACCCTTCACTACCATTCGTTTTCAAAGAACTCTACGTATGAATTCTGTTTTATGATCTGTGATGCTGTAGTAGACTCAATGCTTTCAGAGCCCAGAGTTTTACATGCTTGAGGTTTTGGCTATAATGAAGTGCTAAGTATGCTCTTTTTCCACACGGACTGATCTGAAGAAGCAAAGGGGAAGGGGGCTGCCTTGCTGGAGAGGTCCAGTCGCATCCTTCATCAGCAGAGAAGAAAACTGTGCTAGAGGCCTGTGTATGAAATGCCATCTCCAGGGAGGGGTCAACCATGTGAGAGTGCAGAGTTTACCAAGGTCTCCTTTGCCAAAAATGTGTACTGTCCCCAGCTGTGAGCTTGTGGAGCCCGAGATGTATTTTAGCATGAAACAATAAAAACAGGTTTATTTTCATTTAATAGAGTTGTCAGCCAGGCTTGGTGTTTTTCAGTAGCTGGTTTGGAGAGAGCAGTACTTTACCATAGATTATATGTCAACACCATCTATTTAACTTTTCCCAAAGAGATTTAGCTCCTGGAAGCTGCTTTTGGACATCCAATAGAGAATTGGATGGAACTAATTGTGGAAGTCGCTGGGTGCAGGGACAGGTAATACTTCCTCTCAAGGCTGACCAGGCTGGAGTTCACCTCTGTAGAGCAAAATCTGGTTTGTACAACCATGTGATCCCAAAAAGGCCTCTTGTCTGGAAATGTCACTGAAAACCTCCATGTAGAGGTTAGGAGCATAGCAGCTTCAAGAGCTGGGCTGCCTGTGTTACCAGCTGTGTGACCTTGGGCAGATTACTTACCATTTCTGTGGCTCAGAAATCCCTTTTCTGGAAACTGGGAGTTATAATAGCACTTTCCTAAAGGATGTCAAGAATGCAATGTCTTAAAACATGCAGAGGGGTTTGAATAGTACCTGGCATATATAAATGCTTAGTGTTTTATTACCTTCACAGTGTTTGCCATAGCCACTGACCAGCTATGTTGTTTACTGAATGCTCTTGTTTTAATTGACTCAATTTTCATCTCAAATTTAATGTCAAGGAAAATTTTATATCCCAACTGTAAATGGAAGACTAGTATAATTTTCTATAAACATAAGGTGACCAAAAAATAGTAATAGCATATATTTACTGAGTACTTAGTACTTGCCAAACACTAAATGTCTTGACTTATAATCTTCACAGCCACATGAGGTCAACACTATGACCATCCCACTCTACGGATGAGGAAACTAAGAGAGAGGCTAGCAAATTTCCCTATGGTTGCAAAGTTAATAAATATGTTTCCAGCTCAAACTCCAAGCTCTTCAGCTCTGCTCTATGGTGCTACCTTAACTAAAATTGGACATGGACTTGGTTCACATTGTAGATGGTGCTAGGTTAGCTTCCTAGGGCTGCTACAATAATCACCACAAACTGAGTGGCTTGAAACAACAGAACATTCTATAAGAGTTCAAGTGCCTAGAAATCTGAAATCAAGATCAAATCAAGTTGGCAGGGCCACGCTTCCTCCAAAATTTCTGGGTCAGGATCTTCCTGTGTCTCTTACAACTTCTGGCAGCCCCAGACATTCCTGGCTTTTGGCAGCACCACCCCAATCTCTACCTCTGACTTCACATGGTAGTCTTCCCTTTGGATCTCCAATTCTGGGTCTGATCTCCTCTTATAATGACATCAGTCATTTTGGAGTTTAGAACCCACACGAATGACCTCAACTTGATTACATTTGCAAAAGATCCTATTTCCAAATAAGATCACATTCACAGGTACCAGGGGTTAAGAATACAAATATCTTTTTTTGTGACATATGTGGAATGTAAAGAACACAATTCAACCCATAATAGTTGCCCACCTAAGACTCTGAGCCTGGGGCAAAAAGAGTACAAGTGTTAGGGAAGTGTTCAAGATTAACACCAACCTGAGACTTTCTTCTTCATTAACCAACATTGAAGGAGGCCAGGTGCAGTGGCACATGCCTGTAATTCCAACAGCTCAGGAGACTGAGGCAGGAGGATCACAAGTTCAAAGCCAGCCTTAGCAACTTAGTGAACCCTAAGTTAAGTTAGGGAGATCCTGTCTCTAAATTTTAAAACAAAAACAAAGGTTGGGGATGTGCCTCAGTGGTTCAATCACAGTACAAAAAAAAAAGAGTGAAGGAGTCAAGACAAGGGAAGGACAATGGCTTATGTGTTTTGGTACATTTGGAGCAAATTAAAATTCATTATCTCCTACCCCATCACTAACACTCTGGGGAAAGTGGCTTGGCAAAAGAAAATAGGACAATTCTCCCAGCCTCCTAGACATCCCTCAGGAAAGGCTGGCAGTGGAAAGCTGGTAGAAAAATGCAACCTCCTCAAACTCCAGACCAGGAGGGAAGCACACCGCACCTCCAGAATGTGTTTTATGTGGCTGGTTTGGAACAGCAAATTCAGACAAATTATGAAGTCCTCATCAGGGGAATAGGTAAAGAAAAAACAACAGCAGAGACAGTAGTGGGGGACATCATTTATTTTCCTACTATTTCAGTGAAAACTTAAAACAGTTGTTCTACTAAGAGGCGTTTGAGAGGGAGGACTTGGGGAATGAGGAAGAGTTATTTCGCTCCGTCAAACCAGAGTGTCCTTAGTTGAAGGGACTGCACAGATTTCATAGAGTTGAGAAGTTCTCATCTTGAGTTCCCGGGCCACCTGACAGATGGAAAAAGGCCAACAGCAGTGCACCACCAGCCAATCCTCGCATAGTGTGCCCTATAGAGGTAAATGCATTTAAGGGCAGGACCAGGGTCTCTGTTCTAAGTCAAACAAGCTCATTTCCATTACATGGGCACCTATAAAATGCTACCTGCTGACTCATCCCACTCACTGCTTCCAAGATCCACCAACACCCAGGGCACTGGACTGTCCAAACACCAAGTGGCTCAGTGGCAAATAGTGCCTGTGATTCAGAGACCTGTCCTCAAAACTTTTGATATGGAGCTCCTACGTGAAACCAGTGATTTTTCTGTTAATATCCTGGAATTTTTCTCTTAGGACCTAATATTTATGATTATTTTATTTATTTATTTTGAGTTGGTAGTAAGTGCAATGGTCCAAAATTCCCAAAGTAAAACAGGATAGGAAGTGAAAATAAATCCTCCTCTGCATCTGTCCCCAATCATTTACCTATCTGGGAGCAACCGTTGTTTCTTATATATACTTGCAGATAAATTCTATGTCAACATATAAAGTCTTTTATGAGAACAGCTGAATACTTCTGTCATTTTTTCCACATAAAATTATATCATAGGGATCATTCCATAGAATACATAAAGAGGTACTTTTTTTCTTAATGTCCACATCTTAATATGCATGATCAGTCACTCCCCAACCTCTCATGTACTTTAGTTTCAGACATGCTGGGGGAGCCCTCAAAATGAATTCTGCACATATCACATAGATAATATTTTAAGTCAGAACTTTCAAGTACATCCTACAAATTTGGTATGATTCTGTCTATCGCCTTCTCTTGAAGTAATAAGAGACAGAAATTGGTTTTATTTCTATTGAAGGAAAGGACTGTGTATTGGCTTACAGAGAAGACCATTCACAGCTATCTCCTCCTATTACTAATCCTCAAAGCAGGTCTCAGGCATCACAATTTGGCCAACAATTTGCATTTACCTTCTACTTGGAAATACCTTTCACAATATAGCATTTTAGTTAACTTATACTTCATACTAAAAAAAGACCAAATCGGAAACATCTGTCCTTTGTCCAAGTTGCACATTAAATGTGTCATTTTAAAACATTTTCACTCACACTTTTTTTGGTAAATCACATGTTTTTTAATTATTTTTTTTAATATTTATTTCTTTAGTTATAGGTGGACACAATGTCTTTATTTTATTTTATTTTTCTTAATGTGGTGCTGGGGATCAAGCCCAGATGCATGGTGGGCGAGCGCTCTACCTCTGAGCCACAACCCCAGCCCATAAATCACATGTTTGGAAAGCATCCGGGTTCTCATAGACTGAGGGTCACATAGGCCTCAAATGCACTCACCTGTATTTTATGTCTCTCTCTTATGCCAATTCTCAGTGCAAAGGTAGACCCAGGTAACAAAGGCCAACAAGGACACTCTCCATAGTTCCTGGCGATGTCACACTCAAGACACAGCGGACAAAATAGACCACAGAAGCCTATTAATAATCATACCAAAGAAAACCAAGGTTCTTAGATGTTCAGGGAGTGAGTGACTGCTCATCTTAAATAGCATTTACAACCCTCTGCCACCAATTTAATGCTGCACTGCCTCCCTGCAATCAGGGATGGGGAATGAACAACCAGTTCCTCAAAATTCAGTGTACGAATATTGCTATAACTGAGCCACATTAAAATTGTCTTCTTTTGTTAAACACTGACAAAGCTGAACCTGATACAATTCTGTTAGCATTGATTATGGTAATTGGTTTTTCCTGTTAAGAGAAATGTGGTGAATAATTTTTGAATCATAACGGTTGCTTCCATTGTTTTCATCTATCTAATTTCAATATTAAAAACAGACACAGTCTATAGGATACTCTTGAATAACAGACATAGTTCCTATAAATATGATTGAAAGCTTTTTGATGGTACACTCATTCTGCTTCCTAGTCTTATCAGGGTTCTCTTCTATTTCTGAGACCAAAAGGTTATTCTAATTTTTGTTAGTTTCATTGGAGCCACCGACATCTGTCAGTTTCAATCTGCAAACTATTAGGTGCTTGGTTCCTTAACTGTCAACTGGAAACTTTGTCATTTATTAGTTCACTCATCTTTATCTACTGATATGGGTTCCTACATATTCGGCACAAACCTTCTAACACAGAGGTTCTATTTTAAATATGTTTTGGGTCACAGATCTTTTTGAGAATATGATGACAGTTATGAACTTGCTTCACAAGGGAAAAGAAAAGTACATGCACGTAGGCAGGCAAAATTGTGCACTTAATTTCATAGAGTTCACAGAGACCTGGAAAACCATTAATAGGCCACGGGTTGAGAACCCTGATATACAGTTAAAATGTTATGTCATCTAGCATTGCAAAAAATGACAACCCTGATGAATACAAATAATTAGGACTATGAAACAGCATAAGATACCAATCTAAACACAGTCTTTGAAAAATGCATTCAATAAATATTGTATTGAGGCATAATTTTTGTACAAGAAAATACACATATCTTAGGTATTCTGTTGAATGAGTGCTGACAATCATATTTACCCAAGCAACTGAACATGGAGAATATTGCCCTCACCCAGAGTTCTTGTGCCCCTTTTCTAGTCACCCCCAATTCTCCCGCTTCCCACTCCTGAGGGAACCCACAGTTCTGGTTTCTATGTTCATAGGTGAATTTTACCTCTTCTTGGACGTCACATGTTTACTTTTGTATCTGGCTTCTTTTGTTCAACATCATGTTTCTTGAGATTCATCTATGTTGTTATGAGGTCTGTTCTTATTATCAAGTAGTATTCTACTGTATGAATATTCCAGTTTGCTTATCCATTCCCCCACTAATAGACACTTGATTATTCCATTATTGATTCCTACAATGAAGACTGCTATGAATGGTTAACTATGTCCTTATATTGACATATGTTTTCATTCTACTTGGGTAGATTCCTGAGAGGGGAACTGCTAAGTCATGGATAGATATATGTTTAATTTTACACAAAAAAATGACCAATAGTACTCTCCAAAGTATTTGTATAATTTCACAGCCCCTCCAGAAATGTATAAAAGTTCTAATTGTCCCACATTCTATTTTTATTCAACCTTTGCTATTGTCAGTCTTTTTTATTTATTATGGTTTTTGCTTGCCATTTATTTGCAGTGCTGGGGATGGAACCCAGGCCTCACCCAACACTGACAACTGATATGAACAGCTTAGAGGAGAACAAATGGCCCAGAAAATTTACAGCAAGTACAGAGTGGTCACACTGTATGCAACCTTGAATTAGGTTTTAAGCATTCATAAAAACCAATCAAATCACATTTTATGCATGGCTTATAAAATAGTGCAAATCTCTACAAATAAGAAATTAATCAAAAGTTGTGCAATTGTAAAGCTGGCAAACCAAATAGCCAATAAATGTGTTTCTACAATCTCCTCAGTTGCAATACTTTAACTGGTAAAGAGGAATGCCCATCATCCTTAGGAAGCACATTATAAAGAAGCTGTTTATGTGCAGTGGAACTTCTGTGCCTTACTTTTATAATTCAAAAGCAATTCTTTTTACTTGTAATATTTTTATCATATAACTATATTATCTAGTGTTCATTAGGAATTGGTACTAGTTTCTGAAGGAAACACCAAAGTTCGATTACTTTGGATCAGAAGTTCAATGTGATTTTTAACAAAACATGGAAAACAAACTTTTATTATATAGTAACTACTTCTATTATATAGTAGCTACTTCTATTATATAGAAGCTTCTATTATATTTATACCAAACTACTATGTGCCAAATCCTGCTAAAAACATTTTGTACATATAAACTCTTTTAATCTTTGCAGAAATCCTATAAAATTGACCCTGTTATTATCCCCATTTTACAAATGAGGATACTGGTCTCCAGTAGACTTAAGTAATTATTAGTGAGGGACAAAAACCATATTTGAATTCAGAAAGTCTGACCTTAACTACTATATATATGTTCTGATGTTTTACATATTATCTATTCTGCCATCTTGGTTGTGGATTCACATTCTCCCGTATGTATCTCCATTATCACTACCTCATATGTGCTGTGTGGCAGTCTTAAATCATGCAACTCCTTTGTTTCAAGTGCTTCTGCTCTGTACTTTGAGGAGTGTAGTAAGATATGAAAATTCTGTCAGATTGCACCCCAAGAAGGGATGTGCAAGAGCAGGATGATGGGATATTTTTGGCTCTAGAAGAAAATTTTACAACACATCTCACAGGCCAAGGATAGGTATCAAGAATACACAAAGAATTGTAAATCAATATATAAAAGATTAAACAAAAGAAGAAAATGGGCATTAGCAAGTAGATCACTGAAAAGGAAATACAAATGGCCAAAAACAGACAGGAAAATTTGCTCAGTACCATTATAAATGCATATTAAGGGCTGGGGTTGTGGCTCAGTGGCAGAACACTTGCCTAACACATATGAGGCACTGGGTTTAATCCTCAGCATCACATAAAAAATAAATAAATAAAATAAAGTTATTATGTCTGTGTACATCTAAAACACTAAAATAAAAATTTAAAATTTTATTTTTAAAAAATGCATATTGGGCTGGGGATGTGGCTCAAGCGGTAGCGCGCTCGCCTGGTGTGCCTGCGGCCCGGGTTCGATCCTCAGCACCACATACAAACAAAGATGTTGTGTCCGCCAAAAACTAAAATAAATAAATAAATATTTTAAAAAAAAAAAAAAAAATGCATATTAAGACTATCAGAGGGGCTGGAGATGTGGCTCAAGCGGTAGCGCGCTCACCTGGCATGCGTGCGGCCCGGGTTCGATCCTCAGCACCACATACAAAGAAAGATGTTGTGTCTGCCGAAAACTAAAAAATAAATAAAAATTCTCTCTCTCTCACTCTCTCTCTCTCTCTCTCTCTTTTAAAAAAAAGACTATCAGAAAGCATTTATAACCCATAAGAAGACAAAACTTGTCCATGTTTGTGAACATCATATGCTGTGGAGAATCAGAAAAATAGGTACTCCACAAACAAATGGAAATGGCACAGTCACTTAGGAAGATAACTTTGCTGAATCTATTAAAATTTAAAATTCTCTAGTAATTCCACTTATCAATGTCTACCCTAGAATAACGCTTACATGTGCACACCAAGATGTAGGTACAAGAATAGTAACTTGAAATTTAAAACAACTTAAATGTACATTTATAGACTACAGTGCAAATAAGCCAAGGTGATATAACCATTCTATGGAATCATGAAGAATACAGTAAAACCTAGGCACACCTGCAATCTCAGCAATTAGGGGAAGCTGAGGCAGGAGAATTGCAAGTTCAAGGCCAGCCTGGGCAACTAAACAAGACTCTGACTCAAATAAAAAAATAAATAAAAGACACTGGGGATGTAGCTCAGTTGGGGACGTAGCTCAGTGATAGAGCACCCCTGGATTCAATCTCCAGTACAAAAAAAAAAAAGCAATATGAAAGATCTATTAAGACCCAACATAGTTAAATTTTTAGGATATATTTTGAGTTTTAAAAATAATCAAACTGTAAAATGGTATGCACAGCATAGTGCCAATTATGTTTCCTTGAAACAATTATGAATCAATAGTATGTATTACTAATGGATACATATATAAGTACAGAGAAAGATCTAAAAGGGAACCTTCCAAACTGAGAGGATTTTTATTTTTATTTATTTATTGTGTACTGGGGATTGAACTCAAGGGGGCACTTAACCACTGAGCCACAATCCTAGCCCTTTGTTTTATTCTATTTACTTATTTGTTTGTTTCTTTGATTGTTTATTGTGTTGTATTTCAAAACAGGATCTCACTGGGTTGCCTGGGGCCTCGCTAAGTTGCTGAGGCTGGTTTTGAACTTGTGATCCTCATGCCTCAGACTGCTGAACTACTGGGATTACAGACATGTGTCACCATCTGGCTCCAAATTGAGTTTTTAAAAAAGGGGCTACATGGTTTCCTTTTCTGTAATATCTCATTTTTTAATAAGGTGAATGTATCAATGTGTTCTTAGTGGAAAAAAAGGTTTTTTCTTTTGCTTTTTAAACATACTAAGGTTCAGAAGGATTTGTGGTATAAATTTAGCCTTTTCCTAACCCCAAAAAACCTCTGGTATTTACCTAAGAGTAAGCACTCCAGCCTGAATGACCCAGGTCTATTCTCTGAGGCAGGGTCCACCCTTCTGTGTATAATGTGGTTCATTATTCACCCTAACTCATGGGGGAGCCAAGATAAAGAGAAGTGAGAAGCCTCAGAGAGTAGAAGTAGAAAAGGTGGGTGGAAATTTCAGCAAGCCACATTTCAGAAATTATTATGAAAATGCAGAAACTTCTAGCAAAAACAGATGCTTTAAAAAGGAATGGAGCACACGCCTACATTGCCAGTGAAAGTGTAAATTAGTACAACTTCCAAACATAAAGCCATTTGGCAATATACATCAAGATTTAAAATGGCACAGACTATTTGA